ACAAAAAGAGAAGCTTTTTGTTTGGATGGACAACCAATTGCAAAGAAAAATGCATTTGTTACAAAATACAGAGATTACTCAAATTAAATACATGAAAACAAATAAGGACTAAAACCAGGTCAAATTCTAGCCTCATAATTTGTCTTCCCACTCTTGCTCCTGTTGCCTCACACTCCCTCTTCACTTTCAAGAACTTAAATAAAAATTTGCTTAAATGTCACTTCTTACACTGCTTTGAAACCAATTTTCTTCACAACAGAGGCTACCAAAAGCATTTCCCTGCTCCAGCTGGGGTGATGTAGAAAAAAATGAAGACACACAAAGGACAAAAAATAGATTGAACCTTTGAACCATTCTATAAAAAGTGATTCCTATTGCTAAGTAAACAATGGTTCCAATTCATATTAGTTTCAGACTATAGCTCAGTACAATGAAACAATTCAAAGGAGTAGTCAGATACCCTAGTTTTATGGGATAAACAAATCAAAAATGTGCCTTTGAATATTTTCATTACTTAATGTATAAAATGACCAGATAACTTCACAGTTAAAACCCCAAGTACTGAAATCAAAGGATGAACTCTTATTGATGTTAAGTCCTTTTGATCAGGACTATTTCACTAGAATACAATCAATCAATTTTGTTCCAGAGCTCATTATTTCTTATTCTTTTCTCTAATATCACAAGCATTCTTTAGGCACCAGGGACAGTTAGCTCTCAGATTTTAATGTTAATTATGGTAATCTCTGTAGACATCATCACCTCTTAATTCATAATGTAGGCATAAAATATCAGTGCAGCTTTCTATTGTGGTAGCACATGTCACTGCACTCTAGGGGGTTTTTGTGACATCTTACTCTTTAAAGCCTTTTTTACAATTCAGTAATAAAAACAGCTAAGAATTATATTTAAAATAGAAAGGCATTTTATTTTGTGAATGAGTTACAACCAGTAAAAAGAGAAATTAAAGACTGAAAAAAAAGTGCTCTCTCTTGTATCTTTTTCAAAGGTAATTCTAATTTCGTACTGAACCAAATATATTCAACCAAGTTCTTGTTTACCACCTAATTAAAGATGCATATCAATCAAGCAAATGCTCTTTTTCCCATAGAAAGAAATTCTGTGCTCCATCAGCAAAATACTGCTCTAGTGCCTCCACAAGGTAAAAAAGAAGCATCTCCATTTTGCCCTGGATTATTCTTCATTCACTCGACTATCTACATTAACATTTACTATGGAAGGAAGGACATTTACTAGAACATTTTCTAAGCAGCAACACGCATCTTATGTGACTCTCCTAATCATTCCCACTGAACACCCACCTTAGGTTATAAGTTATATTTCTGGCAGTGTTGTAGGAAACTGCCTCACCAACAAGCCACAAAGAATTTGTAAATACTACATCATAAATTGTGTTTCATTTGCAACCACTGAGAAACAAAAATAATATTTCCAAGCAAGGGAGTACATTTTCTTTTATCATTACCTTAATTTTGTCTTAGGGAAAAAAAAATGATAGCAACACATTGGTCAAATTCCCAATCACTCCATAAGCATGAGATATATTTTATATATATATATATATATATAATGCAAAAAAGGTACTAAAGAAACATGGACCTCAAAAGATTGTTGTCAGGACCCATGGCTACTCTCATGTAGTGACTCCCCTGACTATAGATTGCTATATAATAATTGTGTATTTTCCTCCAAAATGTTTAACAGGCATACAATACCACAGTTACAGAGGTTGTTGTCTGAGGAATTCACTTACACATTCCAGTTTATTTGCATTTTACATGCAAAACATGTAAAAATTATTTTTCTTTGTCAGATTTAGGAAATATGACTCACAAAAAGCACACACCTAAAATTCGCCTGGAAATAGGAAACTAACTAAATGGCTTTTCTTATCAGAGATATTCATTTCCATAGCACCTAATTCTGCCATCAAGCATCATTGTCGTCAACATATTATTTAAGGATTTTGTAATTTCAGGTGGCATTCCCTCTCTTGCACTTATGTAATGCCTTTCTTCTGAGAAGTGCAGATGTTTTTATACAAATAATAAGGTATACTACATCTACAAATTAGGAACTTCTGCCTTTCACAGACAGCACTGAAACAGAAACAATACGGTCCAGATTCACAAATTTTCTGAAGTCATCTCTCAGAAAAGATTACAATAACTCTAATTTACTTTGGAAAAGTACTTCATCCTAAGTGAACTCTCCTGCAATTTGAAGCCATCCTATTGCAGTATTATCTAGCACAAAAGAGAAACTGATTGTTTTGGTTTGGTTTTTTTTCCTGAATCAGATTTTGGTTAAAGGGGTCATTACATCTCCAAACCAAGTGAATATTAATGCCATGAAGGTATCAGTCATGACTCCTGGCTGTGGAAAGACTCCATTTCACATTTACGAGAAATTACTTTCAACTCCTGCTGTGCTTTAAAACCACATTATATATTCTCCTACCTGAATGACCAACACAAAATGAGTTCTCTAAATATAAGTTTAAATGTAAGTTCACTAAATTATGAGTGATCTACATCGAGTAAGAAAAATCTGATTCCTCAGAGCATTGTCCTCAGCCTCAGCATAGTGCAAAATTGGTTTTGGCCCCAGTCAGAGGCAGGCTCTCCTCATCCTGCTGCAGCCCAGTTAAAGCAGAAGCTCATGTTTTATGAAGAAGAAAGATGACAACAAAGCTCAGAGCAACTGTTTCTAATTGTGATTCAACAGAGGATAAATGAAATCAGTCCCAGGGCTCACATGGGAACCTCCTTTGACAGAGGAAAACCTTCCTTTCTCATTAATTCACATAATAATTAATTCTCATTAATTCTCATAATAATGGCAGTCCTATTAAGTGGAGCAACATAGAGGACAGGCTCACATCAAAAGTTTTCATTGATAAATCACTTCTTTCCAGCCTCCACCACTGTAAAGGTCCTACAAGTGGTGACAGGACTCAGAATTTGTGGTCCTAACGCTCCCTGCAGCAACAGGGATCCCTTTAGTACAGGATGGGAAAAGGTAATCTTAGCTGGAAAACCATGATCTGATCATACTCAGAGATTTAACTGTACAGGCAGAAGGACTGACTTTTTGCTTCTGTTTAAGTTTTGGTTTTGCTTTGGGAAGTATGGGGGGTATATGGGTATTTCTAAAAAACTTTTATAAGATTAATCTTCATAGTACTCCTCTGAATCAATAAAACCATTACAAAATAAAGGCATTTTCATCAGTTTACTTCAGCTGATCCATCACCACCACCAACAACAAAAAAAAATCTAAAATAGCTAGTATTTTTGGGCTGCTTTATTATAACCAGCAGAATGGTGAATCTGCCCCCAACTGTTAGTAATTAAAAAAACATTTAACGTTGCATATCTTCAAAGTATTAGAAATAATTATGTGACAAGACTGTTACAGAGCACACTTACTTAATATAGCTCAAAGAAATGAGATAAGAGTTACTAAGATGAACATATAAGGTTGCCTTTCAAAGAAGGTATGCGTGTGAGAGAAGGGAATGAAGGAAAAGACCCTCATCTACAAAAGACTACACAGCCCAGAAAATTTTCTTCAAATATCCTCTAGCAGAATCTGCAGCTTTTTACCTAATCTTTGAAACACATAGTCATGCAGATAAGGCAGCATTAAATGGATCACTGCTGCCTCTGGAAAGGAAGATAAGTTAGCCTTTGGTACTTAGATATTCACTTTCTGGCAGCTGTTCTTCTTTCTCAAAAAAAGTCTCTGCCACGCAAAGATTACTTGGGATTGACAAGTCTGTGCTTTGGAATAAACAAGATCTTTACTCTGATAGGATGTTGGAAACAGATGTTTAAGATCCACACAACACTATAGTCTATCAGGTGTACTATATAACTTGAGGGGCTCTCAGGGAAAAGGTCCCACAAATACCTACGTGTGCCTGACAGTGGTTATGAATCCCTGCTATTCCAAAAGATACCAAGGGGAAGAAATCTTTCCCTCTCACACACACACTCTAATGAGGAAAAGACAATTCTCCTTCCTACCCTGTGAGAGGGTGGAGATAAAGTGCACAAAGAGGAGACACGATGGTGAGGTTGGTGTAGCTGATAAAGTGGACTGGAGAAATTCACACAAAACAATGCTAGGGCCTAGTGAAAGTACAAGGTGGTTTGATTTCTTAAAAAAATGCATATCCCTTTGGGATAACTAACTGTTCTGCAATGCATGTGGCATATCAGGACTGCCAGCATTCTCACAGCTATTATCAATCCACAAACTTCCTGCTGTATCAATTGACTGGAGATGGGGAAAAAAGCTATACAGGGTCCCAAATTCCTCAGTGCCACTTTGTTAACCTCCAGTGCTCAGCCTGTTGCTCTAAATACAGCCTGTGCTTCATCTGCAGCCCTAAAGGGTGGGTGCCCTCCTTGACATTTACTGTCTCCTAATCCAACCCAGGATGGGACAGTGGACTCAAGTGAACACTATGGAATACAAACATTTTAAGGCTTGTGTAATTTTTAAAATTTTGTTAAATACATGCCCATAAGCAGAAATCATCAAATTAGGCTGTCATTAATTGCAGTGGCTGCCACACAAGAGTGACAACATGTCACCAGTAAGTTCTGGTGCTGGATTATATTATTTTGTTTCCCAGGACATGTTCTTGAGTAAAATCATCCCAAACACGTAATGTACATGCAATTTTACACACATATAGAGAAAATAATTTGAAAATGACTAGTCAAAAATTGCCACAAAACATTTTCAGATGTGATGCAATGTAACAGTCCCATACAGGGTACAGGTATCCTTGACCATAGGATCTGCTAAACTGACATTTAATTGCAAAGAGGTGCTGAATCTTTGTTAAAGTTTACTGTTACATACATACAAACATTCCCTACTTCAAATGCAGTTTTCAGATATAACAGTTCAGATTTTCTGTTTGTAACATTTGACACCAGCCAAGCTCTGCACATTTCTTTTACCTGGAGTAATGGATAGCTTGATGTCCTGCAATATTAAAATAGAAATCGGTTGTGTGCTTCATCTCATCAGTATGTCCAGAGACTTCAATCCAGTGTGCTATTGGGAGGCAGTAAACTCCATCTACTATGTTGCTCTGGTTGTAAACACAACATCGATCATGATGGGGCCCACTCCCTAGAACAGAAGAAAGGACAGTTGCGGGCTGTGTGTCTGGATAATCTTAAAAAATACAACTGCAGGGAGATTTGAACTGAGCATTCAAGGCAAGGAATGGTGCTTCCTGCTTCTTCAAACTGCATTATTAACAACAGAAATAGTGGCAACAGAAGCACTGCCACAAAGCAAATGTTCAGCATTAAAATAAAATGTTGTAGATTATTTTTAATGTATTTTAATTTATTGGTTATTTTAAAACCGCCACAATATTAAAAACTCCTGAATAATTTACAATGTAAGAATAATTCATTTCATTTAAGTTCCTCATTTGATGTTTCACAGTATGTGACTTCAGTGCTTAATATTCCTGCTCAGTGACCTCTCTCTAGGGTGTCAATATTGCTGTGTCTCAGACAAGCCATGGCAGCCTGACCTTGGTTCAGGCTGACTTCTAAGGAAGTTGCCAAGATATGGGAAAGACCTCAGAGAAATTTCAGAGGACAGCTATGCATGCTCAGAAAGGTAAAACCACAAAAAAAAAGGTAGGACTGGTGACACAGGGCTTGCTACCAGCTTAAGGATTCAAGAGGAAAAACATCAATGTGGAAAGGCATCAAAGCCCAAAGAAGGTGGCAGACAGCAACGTAGAAACAAGGCAGGCTTGTTTGAAGGAGGAAAGAAGGGTGGCCTTCTTCCACCTCATTCACAGCTGCCTGGCCAGCTCTGGATTCCTGCTGCAGACCAGACACAATCAGATATCTAGCCAAGGAGTTCATTAAACCCTATCTGTCTTTTATGTTTGTGGACCAAAAAGCACTCACTTTGCTGTCTTCAAATGCATGTCTCACTTTGAGAGTCTGCTCATACACAGAAGAAGCTGCCCAAAGTGACCCACAGAAAGACAGTCACAATTGCAATGGCGAATGACCACAACTACCTTAAATGGCCTAGTTTAAAGCAAGATTCTTTTTCTTATGATTTTCCACTAATATTTATTACCCCTTCTTCTTCTCTTACAGCGATAGTGTGAGCTTTAGTCAGAAAACCAGTTTTTAATACCATGCCAGAGTAAGCAACTTGAATTGCAATGGGTCATATCATCAATCAAAAGGTTATCAGTCTCCAAAAATGCATGTACATTCTCCTCCCAGCACCATTTTTACATACTTATTGTAATACTAATTGCCACGTAGGAATAATTATCATGCAGATCAGAACTGACCTAGTCTATGGCTTGCTTAAGCCTGTTACACTTATACATTATTAATGATGCTAAAATATTTCTGAGAAAAATTATGCCCAAAGGAACATCTTCAATTTCCCATTGCACATAAATGCATGACCAGTTTTCAATCACTACAGTTAGTGAAATTTGCTAGAGCAAGAGCATTTTGGGAGACGTATTAATGCAATGATTAGAGAGTAAGAATAACATTTAAGAGGAAAGCTCAAACCATCTCATTTCCAGATGACATACAGGCCATTTTATCATAATTGTGAAATATTATTATTTACCAAAATGAAAAACAAAAATATGAGGTGGAAAACTATTTTCTCTTTCGCATTGCTAAGCAATTATATATCACATAATTTTTTATTATTTTGATTATAAATAAGGTAAACAAGATCAGTACAGTTTCAGGAGCTACAAATCTCACCACTATATTTTTATCTCACATTTATAATTATTTACATATTCTTACCACTTTTAAACAATGCAAGAAGAAAACAGCATATATGAAATACAACAGTGTAACAAAATCTGTGAATGTTTATGACACTTAACTAATGATTTCATGCATTCAGCAAAATACAGCCACAAACAGCACACCTTGCCTTCCCCATTCTACTCTCCTACCACTGTTTGTAGAGATGCACATCACTGTGGCCATGTCCTGTCATCTCGGGGCTGTGTCTGACCCTGACCCCCACATGCCCATGTCCTGCCCCAGCCTCAGCCTGTCCCCAGGAGATGCCTGATGCTCGGGGCTAGGGCTGCCCTTGGGCCCCTGGCTCCCTGCTCCTGACTGCCAGTCCCATGGGGTGTCCCTGCAGTCCCTAGGGAGTTGCCAGCCCTCACTGCACCACAGCAGTTTTGAACCATGTTCTCAGGGCCTCTGGATTTTTTGCTACTCCCAGCCCTGTGTTCCTACTGCCCCACTTCCAATTGCTGCTGCTTGGGGTGCGTGCACTTCTGCCAGTTTTACAGTTCATCATCCTTCTCCTTCTCCAGTTTTAATTCTCTCTCCTTCCTTCCTTCCTTCCTTCCTTCCTTCCTTCCTTCCTTCCTTCCTTCTCTATGACCTTCCTCCTCTCTGCCTTTTTAAGTGCTGCAACCTCCCTGTCTTGTAACCTTACCACCTTCACCATCATTAATTCCCTTAAATAGCCTAAAACCACACATGGAAATGGATCCAAGTTGCCATAAGATGTTTATTTCATTTGTTCCCTCAAGCAGGTTTGGTCAAATCTCATTCTGAAACACTTTCTTGTGTAATAAATATTTATCACTGTTGATTTTTGTGCACCACTGAGCCTCAGCCTTCCCGCTGTGGCCTACTGTCAGACCTGAATCTCAAAAGGTATGGTTCTGAGTTGCCTTTAATAATCAGGTAGCAGCTTGCATTCATATTATATTTCATGAGAATTGCCTAGTTCTTTACTACTCCTTATGTTAGATACTGATCTATGAATTAAACAACTTTCCTACTGAAATAAGACATCTGTGCAACAGAATGTGCATCAACATATTTCCAACGTATACATATATATTCACATGCAATATAGCTTCATACAGGAAGGAAAGAGTGCTACAATCTTCAATAAATACTTATTTAGGGAACAGTATGATCAAAGTAGACTGTGTTCAGAAAGCTGAATTCACTATACTTCTTAAGGGAATTATGGAAATCTGCAATTACCAAAAAGGATCAGGTTTCACTACCCAGGTGATATCCACACGATTACACAAGTGCTTCTCACCACAGTTTGCTTCACAATATGCATTTAACAAGGAAGTTTCAAAGTGAGAAAAAATTATTTTCTCAGTCCACATCATGTTTCTGCTAGCAAAATCTGTCTCAGGAAATCCACCATATTTTGTATGCCATAAGACAACAATGCTATTTTTATACTATTTCAACTTTTCTGTTCCTAGGCACAATAGTAAAGCCAAGAACATAATATGTTCTGTTCACCTGTTTATCTTTGAAAAAAAAAGGAAAAGAAACACAAACGTCCTTTGAGAGGGGCTCACACAACAGCAAACACATGGTTTTACAGCTGAACCCATTTCTATATCAGAATTTTTCTTCATCTTGTTTTTATTCATATTCCAAGTGACAAAACACCGGTTTATTTATTTATCATTGGGAAGCAAATACACAATCATCCAAAAACATGTAAAATTCAACCATAAAAAGAGGTAAGTTAAATATTTGAATAGTACTTATCTTCCCATTAATCAATCATGTTGGCTTTCCTAATTAAAGAAGAAAAGCATTTTGGAAGAGTTTATTAGAATATACAGGTCCTAGTTTAACTTCTGGGATAGCATTTTATTTCCTTTAATAAGGTCCATTTTTTTTTTAATTTAAACCCATCTTTGTGAGTCTTCACACAAAAATGCTTATCTGAAAGAGAAAGATTAAAATAAGTTTCTAGGCATTAAATTATAAAGTTTTTCATTATTTTTGCACTGGTTGCAAAACTATGCAGATAGTTTTGTGCAGAATCCACTGACATAGGGAATTGCTGGAGAGCAAAGCAACCAAGCAGCCCCACTTACAGCCCTCACAGAGAGCTCTTTCAAAATCTGCATGACTGCAGTTTATGGCTCCTTGTTTAATGCATATGAAGGATGATCAAAGGAGCATAAGAAGTGGCTGTACAAATAACTAAACAAAAGAATAAAACCAAAGATCACCATATGACTGATAAATGGTGCTGGTAAAAGGAGGAGACCAGAATTAAGCAAAGGAAAACTTTGGTTTTGATCCTCCTTGAGCAGGGAAGTTGGACCAGATGACCCACAGTGGTCCCTTGCAACCTGATTAATTCTGTGATTCTGTGAAAAACAGAAGCAGATACAGAAAATGATACAAGATGTGCAAAGATCTAGGACTGAAAAAAGGAAAGCAGAGACTAGAAGAGGATGTTCTGAAATTCAGTCTAATGAGGCACAATCATGAAACACAAAAACCTGCAGTTACTATTTTATTACAGCGGTACCGCAGACATGAAAGAAGTATAATTCAACAGTCTGCCAACAGCACAGACTCATCTTGACACAGAAAAGAATTGCACACAGATTGCACAGAAGAGTCAGAGTGGAGAAATTACCAGCTTGATCTTAAAAGATAAACAAAATATGGGTCAAATGAAATTCCTTATCACCATTAAGAGTGGTGAACAAAAACCACATCAATGAATGAAAAAAATGAGATTGCTTCTCCCACTGTCTCTGCAGAGCTCTTGCAGCAAAGGCTCTGCTCAGCCACTGCTCTCCCAGTTACCAGCTTGCTGCACACCTTGCTCCAAGTTAAATTTTTTTCTATTCTGTGCTGTGTAAAGGAAGGTATGCAGGAACTACAGGGCACAACAGCAGCCATAAAGGTGCTGGGTATCTCATCCCTGCCCTTAGCCTGACACTAAAACACAGATATGCAACTTCCCAACCTCCAAACCCCAGTAAGGTGAGGGTGTTTCTCAGTTCACTGCTGCCTGTTTAAAAACCACAGGGCTACTTAGATAACCTTAGAGAAACACATTAACTAACTAACCAACCCAAACCACAAGCAGCCAGGCACTTTTCAGATCACCTACTCACAAATCAGTCAGAGGACAGACTAACTCCTATAATCTTTGCCATAAGTTTTGCATGAACCAGCACACTTTAAGTGTCATTTCAAAATTTTAACTATGTCTAAATATTTTAAGTAATTCCATTTGTATCAAACAATGCCCTTTAACAAGGTAAATGAGTATCTTAAGCTCATGCTTAGAAATTCCCCTGGAAG